AAGCAGCCTTTCCTTATATGCTTTGGCCTCCAGTCCCCTAATCATCTTTGTTGCTCTTCTCTGTACTCTTTCTAGAGTCTCAACATCTTTTTTACATCGTGGTGACCAAAACTGGATGCAGTATTCCAAGTGTGGCCTTACTAAGGCATTGTAAAGTGGTATTAATACTTCACGTAATTAATACCTCAAGTAAGCAATACCCCCAATCAGAAATGCCAAAGAGCTATTAGTAAACAGCCCAACTAAAGAATCCCTAAACCCCCCACTCCACCCAGACAGGCAAGACACCAGAATAGAAGATGACAGCAAATCTCATTCCTGACTAGCACTGATGATGTTACCTAGTTAGGGTAATGAAATATCTGCAAGAAAATAAGCAAGCTCAGAATGCACCAAGGACCCCTCATTTCAGCCCCGAGCTACAAATATTCTCCTTCATTGATACATGATTTATATGCAAATGCCCATGAAGCTGAATCCCCCCCCCCAAAAAAAAGTGGGGAAGAAATAAAAGCTTTAGTGCTTTGTCTAGACAGGAATCTCTGTATACTCAATCATGTTTGTGTGTGTGAATAAAAGTGGCACTTCCTGTTATTACAGCTCACTTTTTTACAGCTTTTTATAGCTATATCATAGTTCAATCCACATGGACAATGCTTGGATTAGAAGAATGAAATAATCCTAGATGTCTTATAGATCTAACTATAACTTGCTAAGCATGAATCTTTCTTCAATGGGAAATTTGTATACCATTTCGAAAATTAGGTTTTCAGAAAGCTACAGCTTCACTGATGTAAAACGGTGCATTTCATAGGAAGTTGCATAATAAAGGATTGCAAGTAACCTTGGGGAAAAGTTGCACGGAGTTAGGTAGCAAGTTGTTTTTGTTGTATTTAAACATCATTTGGATTGATTGATGGAACTGAAATGATCATGAAGCTTAATGTCTATGGAGATTCTCAGTCATCCAGGTCATAGTTTGGAACCCTAGCTAGCCAATAATGATGAAGCTATTAAATTTTAAATTAAATTTTAAATTTTTTAAACCCCCCCAAAAAATAAAAATAAAAAAGAACTGTGCTTACTGAAGTTTTGGCTGAAATGTTCATCACCATAGAATTGATTCAGATGGCCCACATCTTTTTCCGTCAGGAAACATACAAGATTACCAAAGCCATGGATTTGATTATCATGGGAGAGGGCAGAAGGATTTGTGGGAGGAGAAGGAGGTCCAGCCTTGGTAGACCAGAGGAGCTTCCTTCAATCCCCATTGTCAGGTGTGAAGAATCAGGACCACACGTTAAGTTCCAGTTAAGAAGATTTATTGCTCGTATCTATATTTTATTTACGTTTGTCAAATGAAAATTACAAATTTGCACGAGCCAAATGAAAACAATAAAAATGTGACAAGGATGATAGGCATGTTAGTGCTCTTACACCCACATCCTTAGGAACCTCTTAAATATAGGGTGAGGTCTACAGAAGTAAAGTTAGAATAAAACTGTGGAAGCTAGTAGCTGAGACAACTAAATACACAAGAATCTAGTCAACTAACAGTCAGCACTAAATTGGTGCCAGATAAGAGTCAATGGAATTCAAGGGGGGACTGGACTTGGATTGTTTGTAGCAACATAATGACTCCAGACTGATTCCTCTCTTGACTCCATTCCCCTAGTGCTGCACTTCTTCTCCTACACCATACCCCATTCTAACAGGCTGGATTATACTCATAGTATGGAACTCTCCCTCTCTGCTTTAGCCTTGCCCGAGTACAGATGTCATGTAGTACTGTTGGCATTGAAAGGAACGTTTCAACTTCCAGACTCCAAAATCAAGAAGGACCATTATGCAAAGTAGGCCCAACCTGGCTGAAAGAATTCCATCCAGAGTCTTGCCAAGTCATGCATTCAGATGATCCACATGAAAATCCAGTTCTTTTCCCTTGGAATCTCTTCGCCCTTCGTCCCTTTTAATGAAAGAGAACATTATCCCTTTAAAGGCAGTTGAAATTGCATCATGCTGGAAAGCCACCCTGGCATCTGAAACACTGCGGTGGGAAAATTGTCTTTGAAGACAAGCTGTCAACTCAGCACTTGAATTAAACTGCTATTTACCAAACAATAAGCAAATGTGACCTAATGGAGCACCATCTGGCATCTTGCCACTTTAGGGATGTGTGTTGGAGCTGCTGGGAAGGAGAAAGTGTCAGTGTGTGTTAGACTGGATCAAGGGAGCTTGGGGAAAAAAAAAAAGGATTTGGCAATACCTACAGTATTTTACTTGCAGTAAAAAAATCCCAAATCTGTAATAAGTCCCAGAAGAATATTATCTCCGAATCAAGGCTTTTCTCTACGGATTTTTTTTTTTTTTTACAAAACAACATAATTTGTGACCATATTTCCTGACATAAGGTATACTAGAAGTTCCTTCTCTCTTTAGCAACCCCAAGGCAGAGAGATGTACATTCTGTAGCCAGGTGAGAAAGGCGAGACTCATTTGGGTCTATGTGTGTGTAACAAATGCACAAACGTTTCCTCGCCATTAAAAAAAAACCACGAGAGAGATGTAAAACTATGAATAAGTAGCAACATTCCCACCTGGTGGTTATCATCAGGAATGCAAATATGAAATTATTCAATGTAAAACAGAAGAGCAGACTGTTGCATTCTTCTGACTTAAAGAAGTGACCACGTGGGAAAGTTATCTTGTAGGGTGGCAAAAACAATCCATCCAAAATGCTCAAAAGCAATTTCTCTACAGTACAAACAGCAGTCAGTGAACAAATTTCATCACTCTGTTATTCTGGGCTAGGAACAAGAAATATGAGTGTCCGTTTGGTAAAATTGAATAAAAATCAGGGCAAATTTAGGAAAACGACATGTAAATG